TGCATTAATACGTATATTACAGGCTCGTAGCAACGATTTTATAAGTGTGAGGTCTAAATAAAAGAAAATGACGGGCTTAAAAATAATAAACTGCCAAAACTCGAAAATACCTTTTCGGTGGGTTAGACCTTTCTTTACTTTTTAAGGACTTCTATTTTCAAATACTCGAATTTGCCACTGTTTTAACGCACAGGAACAAAGGACAAAGGGGGTCAAGGAGCATCTAAATGGAAATTTACATATTTTAAAAATTTCAGCAAAAGACTGAAATTTGAGAAAAGTTGGGGGGGTCCCCTGCGTTCTACGGGTCTTTATTATAAGCATGACCAGTGTATAAATGATTTCTACCAAAAAACACCAGCACAGCAGTAAATTTGGCTTTCAAAGCTCAATTTAAAGATTATCTGCAAAGAAAGGCAAAGAAGTATGCAATCCTGATTTCTTGTTCTGTGTTTTTAGGCGGAATTGACAAACGATATAGTCACTTTGGTTTTTTATAACACACCGTGCACTTGATATTGCAAAAATACACTAATAGAACCTCATTCTGCCGGTAATAACTTAATCCGTTTAGTGTGTATGTCCTGGTAAAAATAACGACATACTTCACCTAAGTTCAGTGATGATGATAAAGAAGCACATGTGTCAGTACAAGACCACAGGAACTAAGGACCAAAAATAATTATCACCATAATATCATGCTGTATTAAAAGTTTGATTGATTATATGTTGTTTTATGTCCCATTCGAGAATTTTTCCTTCATATAGAAACCTCACCATATACCAGTGATGGGCTTCAAATTTAGACCTTTACTCGGCACTGAAGACCATAGAGCAGTAAGGGATCTTTATCGTGCCAACGCCTGCCGTGACACGGGCCTCGGCTTTTAAGGTGTCATCCGAAGGATCCGCAACTTTCACTTCAAAGTGCTGAACGCTTGGCGAAGGTTCCTACCTATTTTTAATCGACTGAGGTCAGTCGCGGCCGGGGTTCGAACCCACGACCTTCCATTCACGGAGCAAGTGCACTACCGACTTAGCTGACTAAGCTACCATGACGGTCCTGTTTTAAAAGATGAATAGTTTGATGACGACGTGGTCTAGCCCTTGTTGTTGTGGACATGATTTAGCCCCTGGTGTTGTGGACGTGGTTCAGACCATGTTGTTGTGGACATGGTTCAGCCCCTGGTGTTGTGGACGTGGTTCAGACCATGTTGTTGTGGACATGGTTCAGCCCCTGTTGTTGTGGCTGTAGCCGTGGAGGAATCCAGATTGTTCTCTGATCAAACAGATGTTCGGTATGAGCAAGTGAATCAGAAGAAAAACTAAATAACTTTTTAACAAGATAAAGATCTCTTGATACAGCGACTCGAATCCATAACTAAGTTTTAGATCTGACACTCCATCTAAAAGTAATGATGTCTAAATGGAATTGATTTTTTGTAAGGGAAGCAAGTCCAAGTACAGTAAAAGTCAGTCATAGCGAAGTCCCGGGGACCTGAATTTACTTTGCCATATCCTTTATGACGTATTCGGAATTTCAGAGGAATTGACCTTTAAAGAGAACAATTTCCTGGAAAAAGTCACATTTCAAAATCAATGTACATTAGTTATTTTCAACCGTATATATGTTTAAATTTTTCAAATATGCATTTTGAACATTATACACTTGTCAACAGTCCCCACCTTAAAAAAAAATAAAAAAAACTCTTGCATCAAATTATGAGTAGCTTAAAATCTAGCCTGCAATTTACAATGCTTACCTGTCAAGGCCAAAAAAATTGTAATCAAATATGTAATTACTCTAACGTGACCGCTTTTTTTGAAAAGCATGACGTGCGAGTTCCATATGTTTTTCGGGTGTATTTTTCAAAATTTGCTGTTTTTTTATGGGTTCTCTTCCTTTAGGTGTTTACGAAAAAAAAGAAATCTAGTAAAATGCGGCAGCATGTCCTCACAAGAATGAGCAAGAAAAGTTGGTATGGTCCATACAGGGCGCAGTTCACGAGAGCTTTGTTTTCTTTCACTATATGTGTTTATTTTGCTTACAGCCTTCAAAATTATCGTCCGAAAGACCAACATAGCTTACTTGAACTCCTTACAATTATTAGAAGTCGCTAGATTTTAACAGAGACCACAAAACCATCCTATTATTTATCCGGAAATTCACTGGAACCGGAAGTGTAGACCTTCCTCCATGACCAAGACGTAGTGTAAGGACACATCAACAGGACTACTAATGTATGTAAAAATTACTCACTATTGTTGAAGGAACCTAACTGCGTGTGCAACCATTCAGTGACCAAACTGGAGGAGTGGGAAATGCGTATAAGGAGACGTTATGTACTTTAGGTTTAATATTGTCGGCAAGACACAGACAATATCGTTTAGTCCCTTTGTCATCCACACCTCAACCCTAAAGAGCATGTATGGGACAAGATAGAGCAGAGAGTGAGACAGCTTTTCTAGCCACAGAATCTAGCGGAACTAGAGTGAGACCTAGTTAACACATGGAATAACCTTCAATAAAGATTTTTGCCTAAATTGTGTAAACTTTTTGAGGAGCAGATGACTTGCTGCTATTGATTCGTTTGAATAGAGGATAAATGCAGTTTCGAATGTTGCAAACTATAAATTCTAGGGTTCCTAACGTTTCTGATGTTGTGATAAAGCGCTTCAATAAAATTTGATCGAGTGAAAAAAATTGTTTTGTTACTTTTTATACTATATACTTATTAATTTATATTGTCAAAATAATTTAATATAAAACGGTGCAAAGCAAAAACTTGCCTGGGGATTTAGAAATTTTGATTGGTATATTGTTTGCAATTTTAAAATTAACACTCCCGTGATCGGAAGGTCGTGTTTTCGAATCACGGCCGCGAAAGTAGGTAGCAACTGTTCCTTCGCCAAGCGTTCGGTACTTTGAAGTGAAAGTTGCGGGTCCTTCGGATGACAACTTGAAAAACCGAGGCCCCGTGTCACGGTAGTCGTTGGCACGATAAAGAACCCCCACTGCTCAATGGCCCTAAGTGCCGAGTAAAGGTCTAAATTTGAAGCTCTTCACTGGTATATGGTGACGTCTTTATATCAGTGAAAAATTCTCGAATGGGACGTAAAACAAAATACAATCAATCAATCAATAAAATTAACTGAGTTGTCTAAAACAACGTTATCCCCTTTAAAGCACGGATTTTTTTTGCATGAATTTTGGCTTAGAAGTACTCTAGGGCAAACCTGACTAACATACATATGTAGACCTTTTTTTTGATGTAATGGGAATTTTTTCTTAGAAAGAAAATAACATATCATATATATAAAAATATATTTCCGAAGGATTTTGAACTTAAATAGGGAGTGAAAGTCTGTACAAATTGTTTTTTTCTCGGCATAGACATTTACTAATAATTATATACAGATAGAAATGTCATTACCCAGACTATTGCAACAGATGTTGTTTGATTTTGCGTCTATTTCTGGTTTGAAAAAAAATGTGAAGTCATTTTGGAAAAGGCACATGACGTTATATTTATTCTTATTGCAAAAATAAATACCCTACTAAATGATACTTTTCCTCTTTCAAGTGCATGTGGTCCTTTTCTGAAGATTGTAATGTAGTGCTACTTGTACCTTTGTGGTATTTATAATTTTATTCAATCTGTATTACTGAGAAATTTTTAAAATCCCATTAACGCAAAGAATATCTTTTGACATTTTCAATTCACGCGTCACAGTGAAAGATAATTGTATGTTACTAAAAGAAACCCTTTAGTACAGTTAAGTCCGTTGGAACTGGAGGGGGAGGGGGGGGGTGCTAGGAGGTTGTGTCCTTCCCAAACTTTATAGCCAATATGTACTTTGCCATAGAAACATGATAGAAGTTTACTTCAAAGCATTTTAGGTCCAGACCATATTCAGCGATACTGTAGAATAATAATTATTCGTGGTGGTTAATTTTCGTGGGCAAGCAAAATTTTACTTTTTCATGGGCATGTAATTTGGTGGGTTTCTCGTTTATACGGTAGATTTAAGTAATAGTTATTGTATATTTATTATGGTGTATCCTGATTTATTTGGACGAAGGGCGGTGACGAGTGCGAAGCACGAGTCTCCGCCCCTTCGTCCAAATAAATCAGGATACACCATAATAAATATTCAATAACTTTCTTGTATCATGGCCAATCAAAATATCAATAATTGTCTTGTTACCGATGTTCGATGCGTGATTTTTAATAAGACCAATAAAAAAATCTAGTTTTTGTCAGGTGACTACGTGCAAATTCTCTCCTTCCCGCCACTATTTTTTTCTAATACGCACTTTTTGCCCGTGTTTCAACGGTAGAGGATGTCGGACTGCAGCTTTCCAACTGTGAACACGGACGATTTACGAGATTAAGGCCTCGATTTTTTATCGAATGATGATGACTTAATTTTATCTCAGGCCTGCGAAGAAATAGAAATGAACTATTGTTTTGGAGAAATTAAACTTGAGGATTTCGACATGGATTTTGACGCAGACCTAGGAAATCTAATGAATTTTGACTTGAGCCTTGAGACAGAGAATGGCGGGGTTCGTGACATGGATATGGAAACAAAAAATGAATGTGTTCAAAATTTCGAAGTACCACGATTTGGTTTTTAAGTTGAAGAGGAGGAAATTCAAGCGTTGATAGAGAGTCAAGAAAATCGCAACACGAAAAAAAATACACGTTGGTCATTTAATATTTTTGAAAGTTGGCGGCGTGAACGAAATGCGCAGTGTTAAGGGCAAGAACTCTTTATACCAGAAATCGAAACTATGGACGCGGTGCAGCTGAACTTTTATTTAGGAAGGTTTATTATGAGAGTACGTAGAAAAGATGGCAATGAATATCCTGCAAAAACATTGTACTACATTAGCTGTGGCATTTTAAGATATTTACGGGATCGTGAAATTTATGACAAGAACTTTCTCGATGCGGCGGATCCAAGATTTGCAGGGTTCCGTGAAATATTGGACAGTAAAATGAAGGACGCATTAAGCAGAGGAGTTGGGGGAAAACGAAAACAAGCAGATCCCATACTTCCCGAAGATGAGGCTACAATCTGGGAGAAAGGGATTTTCGGGATGAACAATGCAGAAACCCTTCAGAACACTGTGTTTTATTACAGTTGCAAGTTCTTTGGATTAAGGGGTCATGACGAACATCATTCTCTCCAATGTGACCAGTTTTTTCTTGGTGAGGATAATAGGGGGAAATTCATCGAATTCACAGGCAGATCAACAAAGACCTTCAAGGGAGGACTAGCTCACAAGGAACTACACAACAAGCAAATACGGCACTACTGTCAGCCCGGTAAGTCCCTTCCCCGCTTTTTATTTATTGTATATAGTATAGGTTTGAGCAGGTTTTGATCCAGAAATTTTTTCCAGGGAGGGGAGGGTCCAACCCAGTCAAAAAAAATAAATTTTCAACCTATAAATTTCTTGACAAGCAAGAAAAAAAAAAAGAAAAAAAAAACAAGTGTATTGTCAAGCGTGAAAAAACCTATTTCGTAGGGGTATTGAGGGGGTAAACACTGATTTTCTAAGGGGTGTCGAAAGTCTTTTTTTTATCTGCTTCAGTATATACATTTGATAACAATGCAAATTCCGGGGGGTGGGGGGGGGGGGTCCAGATCTCCTTCTGGATCCGCGCATGTTGAGGTTACTGTTTGCATTTTATATCAAAATACTGTGTTTTCTTTTTTTTTATCTCAACTTCTAAAATTAATTTTTAAAAAACGTGTCGTTGTTTATGCAAAGCTTTAATATATTTAAACGTATTTTTTCAGGGGAGCGATGCATGGCTGATTTTTTTAAAGTATACCTAGATGCTCTGGGAAACGAAGGATCGTTTTACCGCCGCCCACTGGCAGGCTCGCCCCCTCGTTATGGCTCGCAATTAGTCGGTGTTAATAAATTAAAATCCCTGATGAAGGTAATCTGTGAAAAAGCAGGTCTGAAGGGAAACTATACAAACCATTCAGGAAAAAGAACATGCGCAACGGCACTCTATCAAAACGGAGTCGAGGAACAGGAGATTATGGGTAGAACGGGGCATCGGTCAGAAATGGGAGTGCGGGCCTACAAACGTGGAAATGCAGAGATTGCGTGCACGGTGTCAAAAGTTTTAAATCCCCCAGAACCTAAATTGCCGAAGAAAGAACGAAAGGATGCCCCTGGACCTCTGTTGGACATATCTACATCTAATAAAATGAACGTTCATGACAAAGTGGAAGTTTTGGGTCAGACCGGTGGTAGCAGTACATTTAACAACTGCACTTTCATTTCGTATTAAACCGTTTAAACTGTTGAAAGTATTTTGGGATACATGACTGTGTGTATGTTCAATTAAAAAATAAACCTTTATTTCAGTGACAAAAGTATTGTCTTTATATTAAAAAAACATTTTATTCTGTAAATTCAAATTAAAAAAATTAAAACGTTGAAATTGCCTAAGTGTTCAATAATTTATTTACACGGCACAGTTTTTGCTGGCTCCGCCCATCGGTGTATCTCCAGTTATTGTACACTTGACTTCAAAGGAAAAACACCACAGCCATGATACAATGAATAAATATATTTACAAAGTAAACCTTATCGGGGATGTAAATTCGTGGGTAAGGGTGACCCAGGAAATCTACGAACATTGGTCGCCCACGAACAATGATGATTCCAAGCAGTTTTGGTAATTTTTGTATGACCTTTATTGTTACAATTATTTTGCTCATCTTGATTGATTTTTCTTATGAAAAATACATTTAAGGTGAAAAAAGTATTGGGAGTATATGGGAGGAACATTGTCAGAATACTGAGATACTGCAGGACTATGCGGCGGCAATGCAGAAACTTGCAACAGAATACTGGGGTCCTCAGCAGTTGGAGCGGATTCAGTGGTGTAGAAAAACTTTGCTGGAGTACTTCAAAAGTGGAGGAATGAAGAAATGCATTGAAAAAGATTCCAAAAGACTTCAAAGGTAACCTGATCTAGATGTTCATATAAAGGAATACTTATATTCAGTATATGTTTTTTTCTTCGTTGAAATCCATTGGATTTCTATAACATTCCAACACCTAAGGACAAACTCTAAATCTTGTCACAACACTAGCATGCACAATAGGAACTACAGGCATTTTCAGTAAACAAAGGACAGCATAATGTGATTTTTTTATATGCTCAATTACATTGAAACTTATTGCCATAATAAATTTGTGTAAAAATATATAAATTTTAAGATTTAAATTTAAGATTTATTTGCCATTTCTGTCCTTGCTAAGTTGGTTATCAAACTTTACTTTCAAGGCTTCCCTTCCCTCCATTACCCAGTTCTTTATGGCGCTAAATTTTTGCTAATAAGGAATAAGAATTAAGATTTAAGGGAGCCGACTGGGGTTTTATTGTGTGAAAACTACTATAGAGAAACCCTTTAATTTTATACCATATGTACCTTACATTGATTTCGGTATACATGCCAAGTTTAATGAAAATCTACCGTCTGGTTATTTTTTAGGGACAATCTCAAAATACAGGTACATTTACTATAGGATTATATAGGAAAATACCATTTTTTCGCATTTCGGAGCAAATTATACAAATGCTACTATAGACTTTTTGCTCAAATTATATTATGTGATGGGTGATACTATATTGTACATTTTGTGCAAGAAACACAAAGTTCTACCGTCTGGTTTCCAGAGGGGGCATCTCAAAATGTCAAAATTCATGACATTTTCCTGTTTTTATGGAGTACAACAAAACATGACAGATACCACAGATTTACATAAAACATAATAAAAATGATTGTTAGATTCTCAATTTCCTATGTTTAAAATTTCAAGAGCATGTATTTTATACTTTTTATTTTATGGCATAATTAATGACCCCGCTTAAAGAACTTCGGTTATTCATGACGTCAAAAGCACACTATTACGACGTCTATCTACCCATCATTTGAAAAATCGTTTAAAAAATCAGTTATTTAAAAACGTAATCAGATTTTTTAACCTGAGATTTCCTAAATTTGTTAATTTTTATAAATTATGTAAAAATAGTTGCTTTAAAAGAGTAAATACGCTTTATTTTACTATGTTGCGCGAAGTATTGCGCAATGAAAACCCCAGTCGGCCCCCTTAAAAAAGAAAAAAAAAGAACTTAAAAATAAGCATGAAATTATGAAACAATAAAACACTTTCTTGGGTTAATTGTTAGTACGGGAATTCATGTCGCAGCTGTCGCAGAAAAAATACATAACGCATAACATAGCCCATACATAACGTACATAAACGGGTTGTATTTTTACCTGCAATAGATGCGATTAATTCCCGTACTAACAAACAGGGAAAGACATTTTATTGTTTTTATTTATATCTGTATCAAAACATTTTATGTTAAATATTGTATTATAGGTGTGTATGTCTTTGTATGCATAATTGATGAAAGAGCCGTTGCGTAAAGCCCGAGATGATAAGCACCGCCCTCAGATTTACCTGGTCTGTATACTCCCGTCAAGCAAGCAAACTAAGGCCCATCATTGGGTGCTTGAAATTGATTGACATTTAGCTACTAGTCCCTGTGTATAACTTGTATATCTAGCTTGACGCTCATGGTGACCATCAAATTAACTTTGGGTCTTTTGATCTTTACTGCATATCTTTATACAGGGCGATAAAGAAGCTGTACCGATGCAAAAAATTTAGCTTGATTATAATTATCTGCAGTACAGAAACGTGACTTTTTTTTTAATAATTCAGTAATTAAAATGATCATGCTTGTGTATAATAACTTTTTAATACGCAAATTTTTATTCAAAGTACAATATGACTAGTACATACATGTAGGTGACTGAAATCTTTCTTCACTCGTTGAAGACATGGCAAAAAAAATAAGATGAAAATAGAGAAGAAAAAAATCTACCAAAACGATGCTTTCTGCATATAATGGATGGCAAGGATAAAAGCAAAATGTCTGATCAGTTACAACTTCGCCTGGACAAGGTATTTGGGGTTTCTTTTTTCTTTACCAAGCATTTCTCGCTACGTGGATTGTTACCGCCTTATTGGGGTGTTAAAACTATTTCTAAAAAGAAATACATATGTTAGCAATTAATATAAATTTCGTTTTAAATTGTTTTATTATAATGATGAATATCTTACTTTTAAAAATGTACCAGTATCAATTTTACGATGAAATCAACCCATTGCTACATGTACAATGACATAAGGTAAATACATGTACTATAGATTTTTACAAAAAGACTAGTTGGATTTCTGTTTAATATATGTTATAAATATGAAATTATGGATTTTACAAATATTAGTTATTACTAATTTTTTTTTTTATGGATGCAAAGATCTAATAATGTTATCCCCAGATAAAGTATAGGCCAAACAAGCTGTACAGGTAATACTCATGGACTTCCTGTGTATGCTGATTGTGTATAGGGATTAACGCTCTGCAAGGTCTGCACGTTAGTCAATGCCTCGGGGTACCAAGCATGTAAAATTAATCCCTCCCCTTACCTGAGTAAACGTACGATTTAAAATCTCGACCTTTAAGAAATTTATGCAGGTGGCTTGCTTAGTGGCGTTTACTGACTGATAAACGGCAATGGTTTTCGTAAGAAATAAAGGAAATACGGTGTTAAATTCAGTGGATGTAAATATTATATTTGGATGTCGGACGTACAATAGCACAAGGTCGTAGCGACAAATTATAATGCCGCGCTAACGCGCAATATTCAATTTGTCGGAAAAGCTATGTGCATTATACGACCGACGACGTCCAAAAGAAAAAAAAATTTCAGTGCTTTTTCAAAGGCTATTTGTAACTGTGTAATTTTCAACTTTTCCGAGAACCACGTTAAAACAAATACATGTAATAACTAGCGTAATCTTGACTACAAAGTAATAGCCATGCTGATTTTCTTTTTTTGAAATGCATGTGAATCGTATTGGACTTTCAATATACCGTATATTCGTTTTTTTTTTCGTGATGATCTATTTTTCGCATTTTTAACTCGCTAACGATAAAACACGCCAAAAATGAGAGACGAAACTCTCCATTCTAAAAACATTACCTTTTTTTTAATTTTTTAAAATCACAAAAACTAACTTACGCAAAATTAACAAGAGGCCCATGGGCCACATCGCTCACCTGAGCACATTGGCAAGGCAAAAGCACAAATCAGTTCAGTATTGAAAAGATTAAGGGGGGGGGGGGCTTGAATTTTAAACTTCCTGATGAAGCTTCCATGTCAATATAACAAATGGCTTTGTTGTACTTGAGAAGTTTTTAAAAAAAATTTCCTATACATTCCTTTGTAAAAATTTGATCCCCCATTGTGGCTCCTCCCTATCCCAGGGGTCATCATTTGAAAAAACTTGAATCTACACTACCTGAGAATGCTTCCATATCAAAATGACTAAACATGATTTTCAGTTCTTGAGAAGATTTTCGATCCCCCATTATGCCCCATCCCTATCCCCAGGGGGTCATGATTTGAACATACTTGAATCTACACTACCTGAGGATACTTCCACATAAATATGATCAATCAGGGCTTTGCTGTTCCTGAGAAGAAGATTTTTAAAGATTTTTCCTATATATTTCTACGTAACACTTTGATCCTCCATTGTGGCCCCGCCCTACCCCTGGGGGGTCAAGACTTGAATAAATTTGAATCTACACTACCTGAGGATGCTTCCATATATATGACCAATTTGGGCTTTGCTGTTCTTGAGAAGAAGATTTTTAAAGGTTTTTCCTATATATTTCTATGTAAAACTTTGATCCTCCACTGTGGCCCCGCCCTACCCCAGGGGGTCATGATTTGAACAAACTTGAATCTACACTACCTGAGGATGCTTCCATATATAATTATGACTCATCATGGCTTTGCTGTTCTTGAGAAGAAGATTTTTAAAGGTTTTTCCTATATATTTCTATATAAAACTTTGATCCTCCACTGTGGCCCCGCCCTACCCCCGGGGGTCATGATTTGAACAAACTTGAATCTACACTACCTGAGGATGCTTCCATATAAATATGACTCATCATGGCTTTGCTGTTCTTGAGAAGAAGATTTTTAAAGGTTTTTAGCTCACCTGAGCCGAAGGCTCAAGTGAGCTTTTCTGATCACATTTTGTCCGTCGTCCGTCCGTCCGTCTGTCCGTCTGTCCGTCTGTCTGTCTGTCTGTCCGTCCGTCTGTAAACTTTTCACATTTTTGACTTCTTCTCAAGAACCACTGGGCCAATTTTGACCAAACTTGGTACAAAGCATCCTTGGGTGAAGGGAAATTTAAATTGTTAAAATGAAGGGCCAAGTCCCCTCACAAGGGGAGATAATCAAGAGAAGACAAAAATAGGGTGGGGTCATTAAAAAATCTTCTTCTCAAGAACCACAAGGCCAGTATAGCTGAAACTTATATGGAAGCATCCTGGGGTAGTGTAGATTCTAAATTGTTCAAATCATGACCCCCGGGGGTAGGGCGGGGCCACAATGTGGAATCAATGTTTTACATAGAAATATATAGGAAAAATCTTTAAAAATCTTCTTCTCAAGAACCACTGGGCCAGAAAAGCTGAAACTTATGTGGAAGCATCCTGGGGTAGTGTAGATTCTAAATTGTAAAAATCATGACCCCCGGGGGTAGGGCGGGGCCACAATAGGGAATCCAAGTTTTACATTGAAATATATAGGAAAAATCTTTAAAAATC